AATATCTTCAATTCTTTACCCCAAAGACATCATAAAGCCATTTTTATCTTTCCTAACTAAAAGACAGTCTCTAGAGCAGGGCAGTGAAAACTTCAACAATTCCCCTTTGGTGTTACTATCAGCTCATTACAGAAGAGAGGCATGTGTAAAAGACACCTGCATTGGGATGCAGACACAACAGGTTGTGGCTGTGTGCCCTGTCTGTCCAGGGCACTTGGTCCTAAAAGGCATACTTGTTAATCCCTTCCCAACCTCCTGCCCATCACCCACATACTCCCACCCCAGCATATTTAACAATGCCTTCTACCTAGCGGGCTTCCATAAACATGTGTTAAGCTTCAATAAACATATGTTAAACTCTCCAGGTTTGTATACATTTAATTTCTTTCCCCTACTGTTTCTCTGTTCCAAGAAAGAAAAATGAAAAAAAAAGCAATAAGGAGAAGTTAAATAGGGGACACAACATGAAATGATCCACAACACCACTTCAGGAGAGTCTCCTTGGCGGTCCCAAATCTTGCTCATTTATGCCATTGAGCATCTAAAGTATGATTCCCCAACATTTTTGTGTGAGGTCATCTTCATTTCTTCAGTGGTGGGAACAGTTGGAGAAACTGGAGGATGAGTGAAGCTCTGAGGGAGTACATAAAGGAGTCGATGCCATTTGGCTCCAGTTTTTTTTATACCATGTACCATGTATATAGTTTTATTTCTTTCTATTGAAGTAACATTGGTTTATAACATTATATGTTTCAGATAAACAGCATTATATTTTGACATCTGTGTATACTAACTATTCCTACCAAAAGTCTAGTTCCCATTCACAACCGGACCAGTGACCCCCCTTATTCCTTTTGCTCATATCAGTCCCTTTTCCTTCAGAGAACCATTCTGTTCTCAGAATCTAAATTTGATTTTGGTTTTTTTAATTTGTTTTATCTTCCACATGTGAGTGAAATCTTATGGTATTTGCTTTTCTCCATTTGACTTATTTCACTTAAGCATAATCCCCTCTAAGTCCATCCATGTTGTTACAAATGACAAGATTTCATCCTTATATTTATAGCTGAACAGTATTGCATGACGTATACACCACATTTTCTTTATCCAGTCATCTACTGTTGTGTACTTAGGTTGTTTCCATGGCTTGATTATTCTTAATAATACTGCTATGAACATAGGGGAGCCTGTATCTTTTTGAATTAGTGTTTTGTATTCCTCAGAAAAATACCCAAAATTAGAATAGTTGACTTATATGGTATTTCTATTCTTAATTTTTTGAGGAATCTCCAAACTGATTTTTCATAAAGGTTGTATCAATTTACATTCCCACCAACATATAGGAAATTTTTCCCACATACTTGTAAACACTTGTGTTCCTTGTGTTTTTGATAATAGCCATTTTCACATGTGAGGTAATATCTCACAGTGGTTTGGATTTCCCTAATAATAAGTGATGATAAACATCTTTTCATCATCAATTATTAGCCTGGCTATTGAGTCCCTGGAAAATCCAGATGAGGGGCATGAGGAAGGTGAGAGAAGCTTGTAGGATTGAGTCTAGAAGGGAGTAAGCAACAAAGCCTGATCAATACCAAAAAGTTTGATGATTTATCACTAGAACCTGACCTATGTTGGCCAGTTTTCAGGTGATATGACCCAGTCTTGTCTGTGGAGGAGTTTTTATTATATCAGGCTGAGGTAGATATTTAATTGGTATTATGATCCGGTATTCCTATTACTATAACAGGCTCAGGCAATAATCTTTGCAATAAAAATTATTTGTGTAGACATAAAAATATGAGCACAAATTTTGCCTGCATGGAAAGGTTCAGAAATTTGACTTACAATGATATCTGTCCTGCATGCAATTTTGAAACTAATTCTGATTCTTCAGGCTCCAGGGGCTTAATTAGCTTCTAGTGCCACACGCCCATAAACAAACTTCAAGTCAGTTTACCCTGCATGGAAGATGATCACCACCAGTATTCTCTGGGGTGCACACGAGTTACATGTGCACAGTTCTTCAGAGAATCACATTAACATAGTGTTCTGCACTCCATTTACCCTACATGTAGCTTAAGTTAAAAACACAAGTCTTCAATGAATCACTCAAAAAACAACTATTTATGGAGCAGACCAGATGCTAGAAACAAAGATAAGCAACAGGTAAAGCACTCATTCCAAGGAGTTTACTGTCTAGAAGATTTTTTATATCAAAATAGAATAACAACCTCAATGGTAGTTTTACTGTGTCAATTAGTCAAGCTGAACTACATTTCCCAGTACACTCTCCTCTGCATTGTTCCATTAAGGGTTGGCCACAAGAGAAATCTGTATGAATTTTGGAAGGCAAAATAAAACCAGACCTGACAGATGTGTTGGGTGTCAGATACTGTCGCAGCTTGTACACTACATCACCCAACAGTGAGAACCTCACGTTGACACAGGGTGGTACCCAGGTTGATGCTTTTCCAGATCCTGCTATATCTTCTTCATTTTCTCCCATTCTTGGGCCAGGTTGCATGAGAGCTCAGGGATGAAGAGGTACCTTCTGCAAGTCACCCATGTCCATGATGTTGAGGCAGTGAGAGACAGGTGGGTTCCAGTCTGTCCTTGTTCTCCCCATTTCGCATCCAGCTTGCCTTGCCTTATCAAACACAGAGCCTGCTAGCTACAGGACTTCAGACTACACAGAAACCAGGGATAGCCTCACATGAACTCCTCCAGCAGCTCACACAATCATATATGACCAAATCCTTGTACCAAATATCTTATTCTGCATCTCTCATGGGTTCTGCATTCCTAGTTGAAACTTGAACCCTGAGAGATCAACTACCTATGTTTTAGAAGCAAAGGGACTTAGAGAACAGTATAGAATGTCTGTCTTTCAATGAAGAAATGATTTTCAATATATATTCATGTAAGTAATGTCAGTGCTTGTCAATGTAAGCAATAAATGTGCCAGTTCTCATTCTGAAGCCACATATCCCCTTTAGCAAATTCAACAATACCAGTCCAAATCTTCTCTGTTCTTTCTCCCTTAAGCCTACTTCCCATCCCTAGATATTATTAGGGGAAGTACAAAGTAATGGCAATAAGATCAGTTTCTAAAGAAGGAGCAAACATGGATTTAGGACTTCCACAGTGCAGCGATGTGATTGAAGTTAAGATGCCGACAGTCAGTTATAACAATGGTTACAGAGACTCCAATTTTCTAAGAAACTTTTCAACTTGTGACATATTAATATGATAGCATCCTCTTATATATAACCCTGATTGTTTACAACTCAGGGTTATTTGCCTTTTAATTCCATCCAAACAAGATACCCTTGTAAGGGCACTTTTTTCCCAGCAAACCTGCAGAGGGAGCTGATTCCTTAAAGAAGCAAGAAATGCCTTTCTCACATATAAAGATTGATTCATCACTGGGTTGACTGAATTCAAACACACTAAAGATATGTTAAAAAGTGGGCTGATGGTTGGTGGAAAATAGATGTTTTGAGAACTGAAGCCTTTGCAGTTTGTTGAGTGTTAAATGAAGATAGAGTGTTAGTTGGAAAAAGTAACGCAGTCCTGAAATCATCTGGTTTTATGTCTGTCCCCCTGCACTCGTACTACCTAAGGGCAGGAGACCTGTGTCTTATTTCTCATTGTAGCTCCATCAGTAAGCACGGTCTGGCATTAAAAGGTGCTCAGTAAATGTTTTCTTGAACTAGAAAAACATGATCCTTGTTAAAAGGTAAAGCAAATCCATATCCTTCAAAAGACACTTTTTAAAAAATTACCAAAGATCAAATGGTCTTAAAAGACCTGCTCTTTGTCTATGCAGGATCTGGTCTCCTGATGCTGATTGTATAAGCTCAAGCAGCCCACTGCAGCTGCTTTCCAGGTAAAATAAATGAAATGTGAGACCATAAGATTCTACATTCCTCAGGGTCTGGGCCAGGCAACTTAGGATCATTTGCCTCCCTCATTCCATGTGGGCTATTTGGGAGAACACAACCCCATGTAAAAACTACTCAAATCACACAGCATAGCAGAGATCATGAGCACTAAGCTGCCAACCACCAAGTGCACTGAAATTTCCACAGTTGCCAAAGAGGAAAAGTTGCCTCTGATGACAGCCATGGACACCTTTGGCATCGTGCATGCATGCCCAGCAACGCCTCCTGCACCTGTGTGATCCTGGCGCATAGCACCCTCTCTAGAAGCAGGGAAAAAGCTTCACTTGGTAAAATCAGCTCAAAGATGAGTCATTGCAATGCCAAGTGCCTCCAAGGTTAGAGCCTCTTGTATCCCTCTGACCAGGGCATCTCCTCTGACCAGGTTTCAAGGCTCAAATTCACCAGGGCTCCGACCACCCTGCTCCCACACTGGTCCTGCCTTCTCAGCCCTTATGCTTTCCTGAACCAGCTGATCCATTTCCCACAGTTTCTATTCTGTTTCAGACAGGTAATCTATTAGTCACCCTCACCTGAATTTCCAACAGTCAAAATAAATTGTCTCTTAAATTCCCATAAGGTATGAGGCTTGGATTACATCAGGGAACAAAGCACAGATCCCTGCTCTCATGGAGCTTACATGCCAGTGACATGCTGCCCAACTCAACATGTTCTTAGAGAAGTGATTAGCTTCCTGACCCTTGCTCCTCCACCTGCCTTCTCAGTCAAGGCCTCACCAAGGCATTCCCTCTACTCATGCAGTTATTTGCTCCACCTCCAATTCAGCTTTGATGCTATATTGATCTACTTACCTGTTTACCTCACCTTCCAGACTGAGAACACACTGAAGTTAAAGGTCACTCTGTCCATCTTGGATGACCCTAACACTGCACCAGGATGCAGGAGGTACTCAAATCAAAAACTGTTTGATTTTGATAGTCCTCTTGTATTAGAAGTAAATTCTCACTGCCCACTAGTGTGAATCCCTAATTCAGAGGAAGGCATTTCCTCTTTCTAGGGACCAGAGGTGCTAGATCAAGTAAAATAATCACTCACTTCACTTCTGGAAGCAACAGCTCGGTGCAGTGGGGTCAGCCACATATTGTCCTTGGCATTTACACGAGCTCCTGGAACCAAAGAGCACAGGTTAGAGGCATAACACAGTCAGGAGTAGTTCTGCTATTGCCAATGCTTATTGTGTGCTCTCATTTGCCTGATACAGTCACCCAGTTTGTTTGTTTTTTTTTTTTTTCTCTCTGTATCAGCACGTGCTTTCTAGCCACCAGACAGTAGGAGATATTCAGTAAGATAGAAAGTAAAATCAGAAACTGAGATTGTCACAAGAATTGGGATGAGACTAAATGAGAGATGCGGTGTCTCACTGGGTAGGAGATAGTTATAAAGCGGTTAAGAAGGCTGAGATGCTCTGGGACACGGAAATATAAGTTCTGAAGAATGAGTAACTTTTCAGGTGTGTTCTGGAATACAATATATATTTCTAAATACAAAACATACAATTACACACATAATTTTATTCTATTTTTAATCAGTAAGCTTATTTATCTCACAGGACATACAATACTTATTGGCAAACTGTCAGGGATGTGTGCCTCCCAAAAAACATATTCCAGTAGTCAGATTTCAAACAAATCTTGTAGAGTTGAGTTCTGTTCAGATGTGATCTGAGCTGAGGGGATTAGCAGAAATCTGCTTTATCCACAAATCCAAATTGTTTCTCTAGAATCAACGCAATGTTCTGGTAGAAAGAAACCAGCTTCTGCAGAGCTTTTGGATGATAAAACGTGAAGCCTCTGTAGACTGCTTACAGCTCCCTCACACCATGCGGTGGGCAAACAGGCTCACTTATGAGCCAGAATCAGCTCACACTCAGAGATGGGCCTCAGGCTTATTTTTCTAGCAGTCACACCACTGTCGTACAAAAGCTCAATGTGATGGATTCACAGAAAATAGAGCACATCCTCCTTTATGACACCCTCCACAATTCTCCAGGAAGCTCACCAAGCTACAACTGCTCTGCTAAAATTCAGTATGACCTTCCTGTGTGAGGATTTGGAGCTTTGATCAGTCTTTTGGTCAGAGATGAAAGGTTTCACAAAATGGTTATAAAAGAAGAGGGAGGGAAAATATGTATGATATCCAAATGTGTAAGATAGCCATTAAGAGAAGTCTATTTTAGCCTTGGGACAAGGAAGGAACTTGTGAGGAAGAGAGGAGGGGTGAATCAAAGAAACTAGAAAGTAAGACAGAGGAGGGGGAAGTGAGAAGGAGAGAATCCGGGACAAGAGTGGAGAAAGTGAGTCAAGTGGAAGCAGAGACTGACTAATCGCTGTGAGGCCCAGGTCAGCTGACAGTTTTTTAAAGGGAAAAGAAACCCAAAAAAATATTGTTTTTTAAAAAAATAAAAGGCAGCAGGGAACTTTCATGGGTAAAAGGTGAGCTAGAAATTTAATTTAAGGCACTGGCTACAAAGAAATAACAAAACATAGAAATACCACTGTTTTTTACCTTTAACTGAAGAAGAATGAGTACCACCAACAATGTTAATTATAGAAACAAGAATATAAACCTAAAACAAAGAGAGATAGAATGTCTCTCCTCCTCCCCATTCTGGTTTCACTGGTTTGAGATGAGGCCTGGCAAAAGCTCTCCAGGACACAAGATGAATGCAAAGTTAATTTTAGTATATAATTTTAATTCAATATGTACAAAATGTTATGATGTAATAAAGTCACAAAATTAGTAAGATAATTTACTTTCCTTTTCCCATGCTAAAACTTTAAAATCCACTGTGCATTTTATACTTACAGCACATCTGCATTCAAACTGGCTTCACTTCAAGTGCCTCATAACCACAACTGGTTTGGAATAACATATTGGACAGTGCAATTGCTAAGAGTCATATTAAAAATTGTTAACATAATCTGAATTCTGACTGTATATTAATGTATGTGTAGTCTATTTAATAGAGAGATACTCTGACTACATCAATTTTATATTAATAGAGGAGGGAACAAAGATCATGAAAAGTAATATCCCCCAGATATCCAGCCAGGAAATGAAGATTTTATTTATTTTTTTATTGAAGTAACACTGGTTTACAACACTGTATATGACTTAGAGGTATAGGATCTACCCCTTCAATGTTAGCACACCACACCCCCCACAAAGACACCAATAGTCCTTCACCAAGTCCACTGATTTGATTTTGGTTTGGCTTTATCTGATGTTTTGTTTCTCTATATTCCATGTATAAGTGACATCATCCAGTATTTGTCTTTTTCCTTGTGACTTATTTCACTGAGCATAATCTCCTCCAGTTCCACTCATGTTGTTGCAAATGGCAAGAGATGATCTTTCTTAATAAATAAGAGCTACTGGGTCTCCCTAGTAGCGCAAGAGATTAAGACGCAACCTATGAGGCTATCCACAGCCTCTGCAGCATGAGTTCAATCCCCGGCCAGGGAGATACCCACATGGTGTGGCAAACCTCTCCTAACTCACCTGCTGCTCCCCTCAGCAGTGTACTTCAGTCAATCTGCTTGTTCTGTTCCCCACTCTGTCTCTGGTGAATCCTCTCACCCCCCACACCTTTGGCCTGTACCCCAGCTCTTGCATACATGCATAAATACATACATACATACATACATACATACATTTATACATTAAAAAAAATAACTAAGAGCTACTCCATTGTGTATATACCACATCTTCCTAATCCATTTTTCTTTCTTTGGGCACTGAGGTTGTTTCCACAGCCTGGCTTCTGTAAATAGTGTAGTGCCACAATGCATCGCTTCTCGGCCTTTTGGCTAAGATCAAGTGTGGTAAATAGTGCTACAATGCATATATCCCAGTGCATATATCCCTCCAAATTAGCGTTTTTGTATTCCTTGGGAAGATGCCTACGAGTGGAATTTCTCAATCATGTGATAGATCCAAGAAATGGAAGATTTGAACCCAGTCTAACTTCAAAGCACAAGCACTTGGATACTATTCCTTACTTCATAACTAGCCAACATTTGTCCAGCATTCAACTAAACACTGACTTTCCCTTCCACTTTCCCTGTCATTCTCTCTGTTCCTTATTGTCACTTCTCTACCTCCACCAGATGCACACAGATATGGATGCACATGTATGTAGATACTATATAGATGTATGTATATATAATATGTGTATAATATATAGGGATATATTAATGTGGGTCACATATATGTATATACGCTCCCTTGATTTCATTCCAATTTCTTTCCTGTCTTCATATGCAAATATGCATATCCATAGAAAATTAAGCTGAGTGATCAGTACAATACTGTTCGTATATTTGAAATATTACACAATAAGTTTTAAAAATCTATAACATACTTTCATAAGTATATTCTACATAAATTGCATCATACTGTAATAACACTTTGAACTTGTTTCACTAATTTTTCATAGCTATCCATGTTGATAAAAACAGAATGAGTCTAGCCTTTCTAATTGCCACATGTATTCCAACATATAAATATTCCACATCTTTTAGACTTTTCCTCTTATTGATGGATATTTCAAGTGTTTCTAACTTTTCACTATTTCAGACAATGCTATTATGAACCTCCATAAAATGATTCTTAAGCAAATGTGCAAGTATTTGTCCAGGATAGATTCTAGAATTAGAATTAGAAAGGGACTTTCTCTGTTATAGATCATGCATACTTTTGGTTTTAATAAATACTCTGGGTCTGAGCCCTATGAAATGTGCCAATTTACACAATAAGAGTGTATAAGATTGCTTAGTTTTCCCACATCCTCATCAAAACCTGGTTTGATTATTTTAAATATTGCAAATCTGAATGGAAGAAAATCATATTACATTTCTGTGTTTTCCCGTTCAAGAGTGAGGTTGGGCATTTTCTAATATGTCTGTTTACTGATCATTTTTAATTCATTCTATGAGGATAGCTTGTTCATATGCTTTACCTATTTCCCCTATTTTTCTACTATAGCTTTTTCTTATAATTTGTATTTATACATGTATATTATATTGTTTTTATTATCATTTACATATTCCAGAAATTCCAGTTTTATACAGATGCAGATGTTGCTTTTAATATTAAAATTCTTTCATGGAGAAAAATTACTCCAAGCTTGCTCAGCAGCACAGGGCAGCACAGGGTAGCACACAACACCAGGACTGTTGTCATGCAGCTCCAGAATCACTGAAGGAATTGGAAGATAATTAGAAATCTAGGAAGCGGCTTCCTTCAGTCATGGTTTAAGTCCTTCACCCCTCTATTCATTCTCTTCCAGAGGTAAACAGGCAACTGGCAGGAAAACATCCTCTCCCCAAACGAGAAAATTATTATGACAAAAGCAGAGTTATCTGAACAGGGACTGAGCAATATTTCATCAGTGTCATCCCCTGCCATGGACTTCCTCATCCTCTTCCTCCAAACGCGTCCAAGAGTCTTGTTTACATGTCAGAGGGAGATGTCAGATGGTTTTGGCTCCGAGTTGAATATTTATAACATTTTTCTAAAGGAAGCTTCACGTTATTTACCTGTCAGGCACCACTGTGCACTGAAGGACACAGAGTCTGCATATCTAATGATTTACAGGCAAATGCATTTTACCCAGGGACACTTTGAAGCTTAAACACTAAAAAAAAATAGTGCCAGGCAATACTGTTTCATTAGAGACAAAGACCCAACAAAAGTCAGGCATAAGCTGTAATTACAAATGAGGTATTTTTTGTCTTATCCTTGTTGCCACTTGATTTTATTTTTATAAATATCAGGAGTAAAGGGAGTTCTGAGCATCTTTTCCAGAGGCTATATATTTGTTCCCTTAGCCCTGTCATCTAGGAAGAAATAAAACAAAAGAATAAGATAAAGTGGCTTAAAAATTTTACAGGCCAAAGAGAATTACTGATTCTTAAGATAGGCATATTTAAAATTTGACTTTTAATTGTAGAAATAAACAGGTATATTATAAAAATCATATGAAATAGGATTATAATATAATGAGGCCAGCTTGCTATTGATTTATTCTTAACAAACAGACCAACTCTCATTATATCCCAGGAGCATTGTCCTTCAAAGCAATGACCTTGGCAGAGTGCATGATGACTCCACATCTGGCAACTGCAAAGAACATTCTTTTTTTTTTTTTTTTTAAAGATTTATCCGTCTATGCATACAAGAACTGGGATAGAAGCCAGAGATGTGGGAGGTGAGAGGATTCACCAGAGACAGAGTGGGGAACAGAACAGGCAGATCTACTTAAATATACTGCTGAGGGGAGCAGCGGACAAGACAGGAGAGGTCTGCTATGCCATGTGGATCACCTACCTGCCTGGAGATCGAACTCATACTGCAGTGGCTGCGGAAGGCTTCAGAGGTTAACCCCTTGCGCTACCAGGGAGGCCCACAAAGAACACTCTTAAAACTCCCCTTGATGTTGCTTTTAAAGTCAGTTTATACACCCACCAGAAAATGGATCATTACTTCATAATCATGCTACATTTAGGGGGTCAAAATCAGCACTGCCTGGTTTAGTCACACCTTTTTTCTTTTTTCTTTTTTCTTTTTTTTTTTTTTAAGATTTATTTATTTATACAAGCACAGGTACAGTCAGAAGCCCGGGAGGGTGAGAGAACTCACCAGAGCCAGAGCGGGGAACAGAACAGGCAGATGGACCGAAATACACTGCTGAGGGGCGCAGCGGGCGGCAGGAGAGGTCTGCGCACCATGTGGGACCCTCACCAGAAGCCACGGATCAAACCGTCGCTGCAGAGGCTGTGGGCAGCTTTGCAGCCCAGCGCTCAACTGCTGTGCCACCAGGGGAGGCCCACCCTTTTTTTCACCAGACAAAAAAACATCAAATCCAACCTCAAAAGATAAATTTTCATTATGCATAAGAGAATCAAAAGAATGACATGTTACTGACTCTGGAAGCAATTTGCATTGAGAGTAGTTGATCATATTTTGAAAAATCACAGGAAATAATTTTACAGGAATACCATTTGTTCCATATTCTAATAAACTCTAATAAATTTATTATTTTTAATTAGTAATTACACCTCACAAACACTCCCATGTTATAGGGTAAGTACTTCAAATTTGCCCCTTCAGCCCAGGACTCTAACTCTTGGGCATCCCCAAAACTCTCTACAGGGTATTGTTACACTGGCCATTTCAACTCCAGTCTCTAACTCTGAACTCCCACTGATTGGTTCACATTGATTTCATTCATATGTATAGGGACAAATGATTTCACAAGCTGTTGATGACCTTCTGCCTGAATGCTAACTTTGGCCAGTTCCCAAACAGAAGCTAAAGGAGAGGTGGGAGGTAAAGTGGAGGAGGGGGGATAAAATAAAGCCAGAATTTGGATTGGCAGTTATAAGAAGGGTAAATTGCTAGACCTAGTTCCTCCCTTTGTGCTCAGAGACATTCAGGTTTCCATCCGCCTGACTAATAAGAGATAATGTCAGTCGGAATTTAGCAGGCTTGGATTACACTATGCTCTGTAAGTTAATACAGCAGAGAACACAGCTGTAATGGGCTGTTATGGCAAGGCCAAATTATTTGTCCAACATGGGAACCATTAGCACCTCATTTATTATTAAACTGGAAAAGAGTTTGGTTGGAGTCCCTATAGGGTCAGTTGCCAGATGTAAGCTCAGAGATGAAATCATCATGGTCTTGCAATATTTCCTTAGGAATAGAATATACAAATTGAATAAAGGACTTCTCAGGGAAATTAAAGCCATGAGAATTCCAAGAGTTTACCTAAGCTTCCACAGTTAGGAAAAATTTCTAAAGAACTTTCTCAATGCACTTCCAAATCCTAAGACTTCCTAATTAGACGGGGGGGGGGGGGGGGGATTCCATAGCATGTGCACCAAATTATACTACAGTAGTTAACAGCTCAATAATTCTAGAATCAAGCCAGTGTACAGACCAAGAGAGACAGAATAGTTTCTCCTGACTCTGCTGAACAAGCATATTAAAGAAAGAGTGGTAGACTCTGTGACCATGTAAAGGTGATACGAATTCAAGTTTCCCCAACAATGACCAGGCCTCAGGAACCTCAGGAACCTGAGGAAAATAAATGTGTCAACTTCATCCTGCAGAATTACAACCTTCCCTTTTGTGTGTGAAAAAACAAACAAAAAAATAAAGTTTTGAATTTTATCTGCACATTCATGAACCAATCATTCCTCTGAGATTCTGAGAGGTCTTTTAATACAACATTTGGGTGATGGGTGCAGCTGGTTAGGACCATTAGGTGTCACACCACAGAACCCTTTCTTTTACACTCTCGTTGATTCTGCCACAATTTTCCATGGGCCAAATTTTTACTGCTGGGGCAACCAGCCAGGTGAGCTCTGGCTCTTAGCCATGGTCTGTGCCAACACCAAACAATACACATTTGTTTGGAACATAACCTTGGAACATCTTTAGAACTGTCAAAAGGAAGCCCTGTTCTCCAGACCACAAGAGATGATACATGAAATCTAACCTAAGCTCCATGCAATTGTCAGGAGCGGAGGGCATACATGTAATAAGGCACAGATTTCCTGGGAAAACCCACCTGAAGAACATGGACACAATAAAAACAAGGGCAATCTGATCTTCCTTGTGTACCACAACACAATTCTTGTTTCTTTTCCACAATGCTTTCCACATCTGCTTATAAATACATATCATCTCCTACCTTTGCACAGTATACTGTGGAATTCTACAATTTCCCTTAACTACTGCAAACAAAGGCAAATCTTATTATAGACCTTTTGCATAGTCTGTGGTCAGAGGCATTTCCTCCAGATTTGAATCTCCCAAAACAAAAAGGAGGAAGAAGAAAGTCAGCTGGTCTATATACAATGTACACTGAGACACACGCACATGTTCAGATATGCTCTGGGAACTTGTCTAGCAAATACTCAAGGGAGAAAGCACACGCTAAGTTTTGGAAACCTGTTTGGAAAGATGCAGCAAGCATACAGGTTTCCAAAACTGAAAGCACTGGCAATTTTAAAGCTGATGAACTGTTTAAAATACACAGGAAAGTAATATCACAAAGACCAGTGTACATACAAATCAGATGGAACACACACTGGCCATGTTTCCTTTCACTTTTTAAGATAAAACATTTTACAGAGTTGTAGTCTCCTTTATATCCTTCACTGAAGACACTTCTCACTCAACCTGCCTCCTCAAACGTAATCACTATGCTGTCTTCTTTCCTTCCATGTTTTTATAATTTTATTATGTAGTTGTATGTATCCATAAATAAAACATAGTATAGTTTTGCAGCACAATTTAAATGTATGTAAATCTACATTTGCATGTAGATTTTAAGGAATCAGTTTCCTTGTTCATTCTTTCTCTTCTTTACAATAAAAAAAAATCCAAAAGTATTGAATCCATCTAAAATACTGGATCTGATAGACAGTCAGGAATCAGACTTTCAAAGCAATATAAACAAGTTTTATTGGAAAAATAATTTATCAATAAAATAACTTCCTGTATTGTCATTTGTATACCAAATATTTTCATTTGATCAAATAAAATTCCATGAACACAATGAAAGAATTCTGTTTGGATTCATGGCAATCGATCATCTAGTAAATTGGTCATTTCAATTTTTATCTTCAGTTGACTTTTGAGTGTTATTTACCTGACAAAATCAGCAGTTCAATGATCTCTGCATCTCCCAGAAATGCAGCCACATGAAGCGGGGTTCTCTTCTCGGAATCCTGAAGAATGACAAAGATAAACAAGTCAGTGCTGACTGGACGTGCCTACTGTGGACACTGTAAGACATGGCACTCAGTCTGATGATCATGGAAAACAGTGAAGCCCAAACTCCTCTCACTGAGTCCTGGCTGTACATTTCCTCTCAGCATGCCCCATAACCACAAGGATAAACCACATGCCATCTTCTGGGCATGTGTATTGTACATGTGTCTGCTCCTTTTATTGATGCCCAGCTCAAGTCAAAGATGGACCATCATACACTGGATGATGAAATTAAATTTATTTTCCAATCTTCCATGTGGGAAAAAAAAAATCAAACTTTTCTATGTACCTTAAATAAAGTTCAAAGCTTTCATTTCTTTCTAAGGGAACACACAGGGACTGTTCATAAGGACAGTAAATGCAAATACAGTCATTTTCTCCTTTCTTTTTTTTTTTTTTTTAAAGATTTATTATTTATTTATTTGTTTGTTTATACATACAAGCACTGGGTACAGTCAGAAGTGCGGGAAGGTGAGAGAATTCACCAGAGCAGGGAGCAGAGCAGGCAGAAGGACCGAAGTACACTGCTGAGGGGAGCAGTGGGCGGCAGGAGAGGTCTGCGCGCCATGTGGGACCCTCCTTTGGTGGCCAGGGAGCAGCCGGGGATTGAACTGGCGCCGCAGAGGCTGCGGGCAGCTTCGCAACCCAGCGCTCAACCGCTGCGCCACCGGGGAGGCCCCATTTTCTCCTTTCTATCCCACTAACTGTGGCCTAGACCACTGCTACTCATACCATACTTATTTAATGCCTACTTTGTGCCAGGAACATGGGGACAGACGGGACCACTGCAGGCCTGTCCCTGCCTCCATGAAATGTATACACCAACAGCACGTGAGTTTGTTTCAGTTGGTGATAGAGACTGCAATAAAATTTAAACAGGACAATTGGATCAAGTGGCTGGCAGATGGGAATAAAATTCTTCAGAGTGGGAGACTAAGGCTTCCTGAGAGTGATGACAATGAAGCTGAGAACTGAGGTAGACAGTACTGTCTCTGTTGATGAGAAAACTATGACTCAAATTAAGAAATTTTCTCAAAACCCCACAGATCTGTAACAAAGCCAAGATTGGGCTTTCACCTGTCAGATTCCAGTCTAAGTCCTTGGTGAGGCATTTAATGTGTTGTGCTAAGAGGTGGCACAATGGCACATAGGGGGGGAAATCGCCTGCCCATTTGTAAGTTGGAGATAATAATATCTATCTCAGAGAAGTGATAAGTGAATTCAAGATAATGTAAGTAAATAAAGCTCTATGCAGGCATGAGACTTGGCCCATGCACAGCAAATGTTTCTGCACTGCCATTATTGTCAGCAGCATGGATAGCTGTATATTAATTTTCCCTCCAAGACTAAGAACTCCCATAGGGTAAAGAAGAGGTCACACTCACTTTTATCCCCATAGTACCAGAATACTAGGTGTTCAGCATAAATTGGCTACACTGAATTGATCAACATGCATGCCTCCCCACAAACTTCCATCAACTGCTCCATAACCATGGCAACCAAAGCTTGTATGCTAAATCTTTGACATTTCTCCTAAAACTAGCACGCTTTAGTTTTTAGATTCATAGATTCACTGCTGATTTTAATCAACATCCCTGTTATCACTTGATTATATAATTTACCTTGATTAGCCCAGGGATAGTATTCTGTTTTCTGATAGTTCAGTCTCCCTGCTCTTTCTCAGTCTCTTTAAGCCCATTGCTTTTGGGCATTTCATGATTCACTAAAATCTAAAACAGATGGCAGGCAGGGGACAAGACAAGAAGTGATCTTCAAATCCATCCATTTGTGAGGAGGTCTAGTAAAAAGGTTTTATGAAGGGATGAACTAGCTTTAAGTGGATAAAAACAGAGGTCCAAACCCGCTGGGAATTTATGTTGTCTATGTGTGCTGCAGGCAATTACTACAGATGAGTGGAAATAGGGCAGTCATGTAAATTATTCCTTATAAAATAATGGTATAATTTGAAAAATTCAGTAAAATATGCAACCATAGTTAACGCTCCCATAACTGCATCATCCTTTCTGTGAAATAAAGATTCAGCTTTTGAAAACATGTTTGTTTATGTGAGAATAAAGCATATTAATTTGTTCAATAAACTATACAAATAACTAAGACCAGACTGACAAATGTTTTCTATTTCTTCAATTGATAGCTCTACATTACTTTTCACTTTATCCTTATATTCCCTTAACTCCCCATTATATCTACTAAAGAATTTCTCAAGTCTTGGGATAAAAGTTATATAATTATGTTATTCTGTGATTTGAATTTGTTCCAGAGTTTGGGTCAACAAATTAAAAAAATGATTTAAACAAGGACTAGCCGAACCCAAATCATGACTTCATTTGATCTAAAGCAAAGTCAGTGCTCTGTTTGAGAACTTGGCATCAAATAAAAAGCTAAGAAAACTCCAATATCCATATCTGGCTGGCCTATCATTAAATGACTGATTTTGCTCATTCTACAGCCCTTTTTATGACATGGTTTATTCAAACTTTGACTCCTATAGTATAAAATAGACGTGTTATGAGAAATCATATTGTAAAAATTCTTCCTTACGAACATTAGTGTTCCTGTTAAAATGCATTGAAATGTTTCCAGTAGCTTCCAGGACATTTATGCCAATCAATCCTCTCCTTCAGTGACATGCTATAAATAAGTAACTGTAGAGGAGATTCAAGTAACAGTTCTTTGGTACTCCAAAGCAACAGAAACACACAATTACTCGTGCTATTAAGATCTCAACCAAAATGACAGTGTATTTGCATTACTTGTCAACACCTACTCTCTACCAAGAAACCTGATTTACAAGAACATGAGTTGAGAAGTGAACAACAGAACCACAGTAATCACCATACTTGATCAAATGAAATGCAACAGAAGGTTGTAATTCATCCTATGCCTAAGAAGAAAGACACCCTACTTGCCATAACTAAACAACAGAGTAAGTGATGCAATGGTAGAAGGAAGACTCTGGGTAAAAGAGAATATTAGTAATAAAACTAGTAAAAATAGGTTCTATGTTAATGATACTCATAGAATATTGAGAAACAGACACAAATCTGATAATTATAGAATATTATAATTTTTTTTTTCCAAATGACTTCTCATCTATTCTACCACTTGAATCTCAGAGGAAACAAACCTTCCAGAACTGTGTTGTTAGTCTTATCATCACCATTTGAAAGATAGGGAATGTGAGCCCTTGGGTAGGTTATAAAAACTGCCCAGTTCAGCAAACTGATATAAAGGAATTATGCTGGCTATCAACCTAGAGCTTCTTACTTTATAAGAATGGAAACAAGAATTGGGAAACAGCACTATTTACAATAACCAATTTATGGAAGCAACCTAAGTGTCCAAGAACAGATGAATGGATTGCCGTGTGTGTGTGTGTGTGTGTGTGTGTGTGTGTATACACAAGGGAATACTACTTAGCTACAAAACAAAAAAACGTACTCTTACCATTTGCAATAAATTTGTGGAGCTGGATGGTTTCATGCATATCAGGAATATAGAGAAATAAAACAAAGGTCAGACAACATCAAACCAAAATCAAAGTCAGAAATCTGATCACGAGCACAAGAGGGGAAGGAGGAGGGTACAGGAAAGAGAGGGGAAGAATGGCCTGTGATGGAGGACATGACGGCCTTGTTTTGGGTGTGGTATGGTAACAATAACCTGAAGAGGTGGCAGGCTATATTTCTAATTTCTGAATCATATACAGTATGTTACACCAATGTTACCTTAACGAAAAATCATAAAAAGATAAATAACCAAACAAATACATTGTGGCATGGACTCCATAGTGGCCCTATTGGCTCCAGCTTATCTGAAAAACTTAGGAAGCCCTAAGCCAGACCTCCAGGTTAGTGCAGAGCCCACCTGATATCCTACAGGATTAGGGGTAGTTTCTGGATCAAAATTAGATTTCAGGACCAGAGTAGCATTCAGAGTACATGTCCTCTGCATTTCCTGTTGCCCAGGTGGACTCTCTGTATTAACCAGCAGCTCATAAATGGTAGTGTAAATCTTTACAATGCCCAGGAGCAGAAAAGAATTCAAAATTAAGCACAGTAAGAGCAACACACATTGGAAACAGCTCATCAGTGTAGTTTTTAAAAGACAATTAAATTTCACAAAAGGGAGAAACAAAAATCTCTTTTCATTACCCAATAGTTCCAGTTCCAAATAATCCTTGTGAACAAATTTGGACCAGTGAAAAGATGCAGAGGTAAATCCTCTCTTTCCATGAATAGCCAAAGACACACACAGTCAGCTGCTGTCTGAACTAAATTTGCACTATGTCATGGAGAGATCAGGCAGAGGAAGTTTCTGTCATCTGTTTACTAAAGTGCAGATGAAAGCAAATAGGGAACTTGAAGTACACATATTAAGTGTGTCTGACATGGGCAGAGAGGCTGTTCTGGCAGCTAAAAATACTGTGTAGGTGGATAGACTCAGGGGGCACCCCAAGGCTCTGCTCTGAAGACTGAGATTTATTACATGCTTTGGAAATTCTCAACTAGAAGTGCATGATCTAATCTTCATTATAAGTATCTGTCATACAGTAAAACAAACATCCCTCCCTACTTATAAATATCTTACATACCGACGCAGACAGATGGAGCAATATTAAGAAAACAAGCCCTGAAAAGCCTTCCTGTCATGAAATATAGACAGTTCCAATCATCAATCCAACCCCCCCACCCCAGAAACAAAGAAGCAGGGGGAAAGCTGACAATTAGGCCCAGCAAGCTTAATGTGATATTGAGCAGAGATCACTAGAAGCAAGATGTCCAAAGAAACTCTGAACAAAAAATAGGTAAATTTTTAAAATACTTTAATCACCTGAGGAAGAGACTGTTAATAGATTTAAATCAAACAAGGCACAAAATGGGAAAGATGTTTGGTTTAAATGGGGGATTAAAAGAAGTGTGTAAAGAGGAAAAGG